GAGAAATCAATTATGTGTGTATATTGAGATCCATTACTCATCATGTTTTTTTTAAATCCCTGAAATCCAAAAACATCTTGTTTTTCCTTCAGATAGGCACACCATGTAATAGTCAAAATCAGCCTACCCAGACCTAAGGCTAACCAGACACACTAACTGTGAAGTGCGCAGGCAATACCAAGGCCGTGGAGATTCTCATGTGTCCTCCAAGGGCGCGTGGTGATGTCCTGGAACAATACAAGCATGCCAGTGCACACCCAGCCCCACTCGGTCCAAACATCTAACAAGCTTCTGACACACTGATCTGAAGACTGCAGTAAGAAATAGACTTTACCAGTCTATTTTCTTTTCATCCAGGATTTTATTTTTGGCTCTCTGGCCTAAAGCAGATGGAATTTTGCAGAATTATCAGATTTTCAGGAAAAAAAGTGGGGGGGCTAAAAAGTTTCATTGAGAAGACACAGCTAGGAATCACTGGTCCCAAGGAGGTTATTTCTGACAAGCTGCCTCTGGGGTGCTCAGCATAAATAAATGGGAACCTCAGTTAAATTAAAGTACTAAGAAACCCCAGTTCCACACAGTCAAACCAAGCAGGAGCTGGCTAGAGGCCTGTTATTTCAGAAACAATTTGGATCTTATATCATCTTATAAACTGTAACAAGCAGGGCCGGCCAAATAGCTCAGCAGATTAAAGCGCCTGCATTGTAGGTGCAGGAGCCTGGGGTTCAATCCCTGGACCTGCTGTGCAGCGGCGGCCCCAAGGGTATGGTGGTGCACGCCTGTAATCCCAGTGCTTGGGAGGCTGTGAGACAGGAGAATCACTACTGGACCCTGAATACCCTGTAGACCCTTCCCTAAAATACAGGAAAAAAACCAAACAAACTGTAAAAGCATTTTGAGAAACTAACAAGCAACTTAACTGCCCCAAATGTTCCATACAGAGAGGTTTTACAACACAGAGACACAATGGTCAAGGTCCACTTCAACTTTTGGAACTAAGCGGTAACTACCTAGGCCTTCTGAGGCTGCACCAGGGCTTTCCTAGGCTCTAGTTTAAGAAGACAGTCCAGTTTTTAAGAGAAAGTGAAACCAGTCATCCCAAGGACTGCTTTTCTCACTCCCTTCGGCTTTGCTTGGACTGCAGGAGCTGCCTGGATGTTCCCGTCCCGGATGCGGATGCTGAGCACTGATGTGAATGGACGCCAAGAAGCCGGGCACGTTGTCCTCCACTCCCTCCCCTGACGTGGGCACTTGCAAGGCAGCTGTCAGCTGTCAGGAGCGGCACACCCAGCCTGGCGCTTTGGTATGCACTACACAGAGCTGTTGCTGCTGTTGCTGCGCTGTCCTGCTCTTTTCTGTATTAAGGGCTGCAAGTCCAAAGGCTTACTTGGAAGGACAGATCCCTCCAGTAACAGTTACGATTACAATTATGAGGAGTTCGACAAACTCTGCTCTAATATTAAAGACTGGAAGAGTACTCAGAGAATGTAGCACACATTAAGAGCTCTGACTTCATCCTGCCATTGTGCACCACACGCTAACATGAAACCCGATAGGGACACTTCCCACCAGCCTCCTGAGCGTCCCTGCACCTTTGCCGCACCTGCTCCCTGAGCTCAGGCTGCAGGTGAAATGACTCAATCGCCTGAAGTTTAATCATTTCACCCAACCTGGTCCTCCTTCCTGTTCCTGGTAAGGCTGCCCGTCCACCTGGTTGCTGTAATTTTCCCTCTCCCCCCACCCCATTATCAGCTGGGAACCAAGTACTGGTAAAGTGTCACTCCTTACCTGTCCCTACTTTCCACTGCTATGTCTACTGTCTTGCCTCAGGACCTCTACAGATTTTGCTAGACAATGAAAATCCTACTGAATATTCTTCTTGTTTCTAAGTTAGTCACTCATGACTTGTAATCTACTCCACCTATCCAGCTAGTCTCTAAAATATAATAAGCTGTGCAAATAGTGAAATTGTACTCCTACCTGAAAAGTAGTACCCTAATTTTAGATCATAAAAATATTCCTGAGCATGACATAAAATGTAGAAGGCACAAATATGTTTAGTTTAAGGATCTTCTGTAAGACATCATTACAAGGGTTAACAACAATGGGGAAGGGCTGGCCAGATAGCTCAGCAGATTAAAGCGCCTGGCCAGGGTTCGATACTGGGCCTGCAGTGCCGGCCCCACACCTGTAATCCCAGTGCTTGAGAGGCTGAAAAACAATCACTAGGAGTCCTATCTGTGTAGTGAGACCCAGTAAGCCCTGTACTAAAAATACATTTAAAAAAAAAAACCACTGGGGAATATATCTACAACAAACATGGGGAGCATTAATAAGCTCATTCCTTTATCTAATAGGAGACTTAGAACTAAGAAGCAGTCCTATCTAGATGTGAAGTAACACTGTGAGTCCATCTCATTCTGGACAGACCAGAATAGCAAAGACTAAGGCAAGCAATTATAACACAACAAGGAAGGCACACTGTCTTGTGAAGATGTGGTGTGGGAAAGTTCGTGGCTTCCTGCACTTCCACAGCTGCTTCCAGGACCCTGCCTAGACTGAGGTACACCGCACATCAACACTAGCAGATAGCTAAGCACTTAACAAACATGTCTGATCACTGTTCATGTCTCTGAAACACAGTGGAACACAGAATGAATCATTTCCTATAGAGCTGGTTCATGAGCGACGCTTCAGCTCTGAGTTACAGGTTAAAATCTTCAGTAAGGTGCCTGAGCTCCCCCAACACCAAGTCCTGTCATTCTCGCAGTACCAGGGCCTGCCCAGTGGGCCAGCGCAAATGCCAAAGAGGTGAAGTGGATTGGCCTTTTCCACTTTGACTCGATCACTTCATACCCTAGCAAGGAGATTCGCAGCAGCAGCAGCAGCAGCAGCAGCAGCAGCAGCAGCAGCAGCACGCACAGGCCTACACTGCTGGCATGCCTTAGTCTGCTCAGGACACACCATCGTACGAAGAGAAGGTATCAGAACTCCGCAGGTAAATCTCCCTTCAAACGAAAGCTATCAAAAGAAATGCAAACCTATCACATCCATAAGAAAAGCTACATATTGTTAAAGGAGCAAACAGTGCAGAGCTTTGATGTAGCTTTTCTTATGAATCTGGAAGATGGGCAGTCACCTGCTACGAGACTACAAGAGAATCTGGAGAGAGCTGGGGATGCGGTTCTGGGCCTTGTGTGCACAAAGCTCTGGGTTTGATAACTAGCTACACACACACATACACATATACACACGCACACACACACCCCTGGACAAAAAGCCCTAGACTGCTCACTTTCCAAAACCAGACAGATGATCAAAATACGCCTAAGAATACTAAATAAAAGCCCGCATTTTGATACTACCAACAAAAATTTCCTTCACTGTTAGACGGGCACCAGGCTTTACTGAATCCTCTCTAACAACAGCTCTCTTTGGTTCCACTACACACTTAGCAACTTTGTCTGGTCGAGCACACACTGCTGCATCCACCTCCTCAACACAAGAGTAAGCCACACAGCCAAGGCCTCTGGCATGTTTTGTTTGGGGACCTCTCATTACCAGACGATTTGGGAGTGGGCCCCATTTCCAGTGTTCTCTCAAACTGTCATCAGTAGTTTCAAAACTCAGACCACCAATAGACAGCTTTCTCAACTGCTCTGGCGCCTTCGGGTCATGGCTCTCCTCCCCACTGGCAGCGATGGTGACAGCCAGAGTCAGGCTGGGGATGACGGGGCGGCAGTTTTACCTCCAGTTTGAGACCAGACTCGCCTCTTCCAACTTGAGTTCAATATGGGACTGAGAGGAAGAGCAAAAGCCAACATTTTGCAGAACTAATAAAAATATACAATGGAAAACTAAAAATGAATTTAAAATGGAGATAACAAAAAAGTGGAATGTAATCAGAAGCAATTTAGGGGAAACAAAAGAAGTTAAACTCAACAAAACGGCACTGACATTTAAACTCTTGGCCATTTCCCAGCGCTTGTGCAGGGCTGCGTGTGACGGGCTCACGTATCAGGTAACAATACCCTAAAACGGGTAGTGCCTGGACATGCAGCTTTTTGTTCTTGCAAATGTCTGTATTTCACCAGCACTTACACATACATACCATTGCTTAGAATTATGATATAGTTGTGAATCTGTGAATCTAATTTCCTAAATACCTTTTTTTAAAAAAAGACAGGCTGGGGCTGGGGAGGCAGCTCAGTGGCATAAGTGCCTGCCTGGCAAGTGTAAGGTCCTGAGTCCGATTCCTGGTACCAATAAATAAATAAATAAATAAATAAATAGTAAATAAATAATCTTAACAGGGCTGGGGACTTAGCTTAGTGGTGCAGCACCTGCCTGGCAAGCGTGGGATACTGAGTTTAATACCTGGTACCAAAAAAAAAAAAAAAAAAAAGACAGTGAAATATCTAAATTTCTGGCTTGTTCAAAGAATTTTCAGAAATTCAAACCTTGGCTAATGGTCGTCAAAACCCATCTTATTTTATTATCTGTCTCTGGCAAAATTAATAAAATAACTGCCTAAAAATCTGGTCTACAAAGAAACCTTATTATTCATGGCTGCAGGGGCTTTCGGTGGCGGTTTCGAGAGAGCACATGCAGACGCACATGTCAGCATTTGGGCAGATCCCACGTTGGCAGGTGCAGCAGCTGTAAAGCTGAGACCTCGAGGGGCACAGAACCTAGGCAGTGAGCCAAGGCCACTTGGTCTCCCCCTCTCGCCTGAGGAAAACGCTGTCTTTTTGAAGTGGTGCATGCCCATGCCAAGATACCGTATCATTGCTATTCCCTGTAGGAGACGTTAGACGGAACATAACTGCAGGTCAGAAGGACAGACTCAACATCACTGAAACACCAGTCAGCCATGGCTTTGTCTCTGGCGACCCCAGGGGAGTCACGTGCAGCTGCATTACCACGCTAAACGTACACAGCACAAAAGCCATTCGAAATTGCTAAAAGTACAGCTTTGATTACGTAATACAGAGACTCACTCTGGGAGGCACAGTGACCGTCGGCAGCTCCGTCCTCACGCCCCTCGTACTCCCTGCTGCACAGCTGCCTGTTGGCTGTCTCCAGCCGGTCTGTGAACAAGCCGGAAATGATTTAAAGTAAGTGTGTACGGATTTAAGTTACCATCCAAAGGCAAAATGAAGTAATGCCAGCAGGTATGAAGAAATGCTCAGTCAAAAGCCCCAGGTGAGCAATTTTTGGGGAGAGACTATCATAACTGCAACCTCAAATATTGAAAGAAAGCCCTTCAGGCCCTAAGTTGTGCTCTGATGCAGTTTGATCCAAAGCAGCAGCAGCAGCAGGCAGCAATAAGACTGCTTCGCTCCTTCTAAGGACAGAGACCTCTGACTCTGTTTTCCCTGTCTCTATAACCTGAAATCCAGCCCTAGCGTAGCCCTGGCCATCAGCCCTATGTTTTAGCCAGTGACTGCTAACTGAATCTCAACATCAAAAATAAATACAAATAACAAATAACTACCAGAAAGAAGATAGCGTACAGTAAGTTCCATTTGCTAAGGCCACTTGCTCTATCTTCATGTATCCAGTTAAATAATCTGGCTGACCAAGTATTTACTGGATGTAGAAGATACTCAAAACTAACAGATTCAAGTGAGAGAAAAGGTAGTCCTTAGCTACTGGGGACCACCAGCACAGAGTGGACATTCAGTCAACTGAAGAGTGGCTACCCTGACTCAAAATGAAGTAAAACTCTTATGTTTCAAACTTATGACTTAAATAAGTACGTTTTAAGTCCCTTAAGTCATCCTCCAGGTGGCTAGAATTTAAAGAGAGTCATGCAGGAAGAAGAGCATCTGTGACAAAGCAAGGAGGCCCAGGGCCAGGCGGGCAGCGTCTGGCAGCGTGGAAGGGGAGGACGGCGAACTTGCCTCGCAGGTCTCTGTTGAAATCGTGAAGCCTTCTGATCTCGCCTTCCAGTTTGTTTCGCATTGCCTTGTCCAGCGACTCGCGCTTGGTGGTAGACTTGACCAGACTCTCGTAGGCTTCTGAAATTCTCTGAAGTTCTTTTTCAAACTGTAAGAAAGAACTGCACTAGTGTGACATACACGCAGCGCCTTCCACGGATTCACTAACATTCACAATTGTGGAATTAGTTTTACTTCTGCTTCCGCCCTCCAGGGCTGCATTAGAATGCTACGAATAGGGTCTGCGAGTATGGCCAGACAGGTCGCCTCTAGCACTCCCTGTGAGCCACTGGTAGTAAGCAGAGGAGACACAAGGTAAGCCTCTTATTTTTGTATGGCCATTGTAACTATTATCATTAATCCCATTTAATGTAAGGAAACTATTAAAGTATAGAACAACTAAAGCTCTATAACCAAGACCCAAACTTCTAGACTCTGAGCATAGTGTTCCCAAAAGACCCTCCTACCTGTCTCTACGTGAGAGGCCTTGTGGCTGAACACTTTTGTCCCTTCCCTATCAAATTACCTCTATAAAGGATTAATGGACTTGTAGTAGCTATGCAAAAACAAAGGTACACAGGAAACTTCTTCATATACAGGAAATGAGAGCTATTAAGGCTTTGGGGGTGTGTGTGTGTATGTTTCACTAGACTAAGAACAGTAACCAGGGGAGCTTTTAACCTATGGCACATATGAATCTATAACAAGTAGCGAGAACTATTATAAAAAAATTAATGCATTTGCAGTTGACATCAATAATCCCCTCTTGGTTATTGTGCAATATAATGCAGGAGGAACAGTAAAGACTGGGTGCTGGCTTGCAAAAATAGATGAAAATTTAATGGTCTGCTGAGGAATCAGAAGGGAAGGAGACCAGAGCCATGTGGCCCCTCCACAGGAAAGGGATGTCACCGGGAGCCAGGTATGCTCTTTTCTGAACTCCAATTACCCAGGTCAGAAAGTCCCTTCCAAGGCTCCTACAATAAATAACATGCATCCTAACAAATACCCACTATTTGCTTCCAGTGTGCCGAGTTTCTTCTAGGTCCCAGGGTGCAGAACTAAGGAAGGGCATGCCTCGCCATCAGCTCACAATCTCAGCTGGCATGTGCCTGGGCTGTGCGCGCCTACAGTGCAGGGTGGTGAGGGCACAGCAGTGCCATGGTGAGACAGCTGAGAGCTAAGAAATTTTCAGAGGGGAAAAGGGATTTCTTTGAAACACTTCAGAGAAAATGGCTTTTAAAATAAATAGTAAATGACAAATGGGAATTTGCCAGCCAGAGGAAAAGACCAAAGGGCATTGTCATTCTACGCAGACCAGTCATGAGAGTCCAGGGATGAGACCAAGGCCGAAGTGGCAAGAGCCAGGGGCAAGGAAAGGACTTCAAATGTACAGTCAGGGGGGAATGATAGAGACAGAAAGGACTGCAGAAAGGCAAGCTCTTGGTCTCAGAGAAGTTGGGGTTAATAGAGGAGCAGGCAGAAGAGTCATCCAAGTAAGAAACCAATTCTTGTTCGTGGGTCAAGAAGGCAGGAGAGAGAGAAATCAAGGACAACACAAGCATTTATAGTTTAAAGGACAGGAATAATAAGGCTTTACCAAGACAAGTGATGGTGAGAGCAACAGGTTTACCAAAGAAAGCAAGCCAGTCTCTCTTTATAGATGCCAAGACCCTGCACCAGAGTGCGAATCAGCAGTTGAGATACAGGCCTGAAAGTTAGGAGGCAGCTGTAGTGCCATCAGCTAATGGACAGTGAACTGTAAGAAAGTGGGAGGTCAGTCAGGGAGCTCAGCAGATGATTCGAAGTACATTCATGAGGAGGGCAGCCGGGCAGAGCACGCACAGAGCAGAGCCAGCCACGTTTCAGGTGCGAGGAAAGCAAAGGGGGAGGAAGCAAAGTCACGGCCAGCACCACCCACAGCTCCAGAGGAACCGAGAGAGCCTGGTAGGAAGCCAGGGACAAGGCTGGGGAGCGCTAAGGCTTCAGCTTAGGGGCATCCAGAGGAGGCGGAACCCAAATGCCAAGCCCCTTTTGCTATTACACGGTCTTCCCACAGGCCTCCTACACCAGAGGCAGCTCTTGGTGTCTCCCTCACGTCAGCCAGGTCGTTTCTCCCACAGATAGCACCAATTGCTGGAAGTGTGGTGGCACAGGGGACAGCATGTCCCGAACCCTGTTCACAGAGCTACCGTAATTAATGTTCCTTCATTGTAACTTCATTTTCAGAAGACAGCTCCCAGGAGCCAGGGAGATGGCTCAGTGGTATAAGCGCTTCCCTGGCAAGCGCAAAGGCCTGAGTTCAATCCCCAGTTCCAAAAAAAAAGACAGTTCCCAAACATCGTTTCTATGCTGATTTTATCCGTCAACAGTGCCTTTATTTTCAGACAGATGGGCAAGGCCCAGGACAGCTTCCTTCAAGGCGGTAGGCATTTTCTAGTCCCTAAGGAGGCTGAAGGTACCATGAACCACGGCACGAGTCGTCACCCCGAGACAAGGGCTCAGGCCCAGTTCACGTGGGAGTCTTCCTGAACCCCACACCTTCAGGATTCTCCCCAGAGAACGAGTTCATAGTATTTTAATCTGTTGTACTACTCACTGGAATTCTGACATGCACGTATGTTTTGTATCTGACTTGTCAGTTCACTCCTTGGTGGCAGAAATAGCCACTCTTGCCCTAAAACTGCGCCCTGCCCAGGCCAAAAATACTGACTAATTAATCTGTAACAGAGCTGGGCTCTGACAAAGGGTACCTGACCACAGACTCTTCTCCTCCACTGAAAGAACTTCCACTGCACAGTGTGGGAGCAAACTCCAGGGCCCCTACCACAGCATATTTTACTATTATCAAAGGGCAAGATAACTGAGAACTGGCACACGTGCTTAGGTATTTTCTGTGATAGCTGCAGTGATGAATAAATATTAGTGTCCTGTAGTGTAGTGGTAGAAGACGGAGCTGTGACTAAAACTGGGAAATTTAAAGAGATGCAAACGTTGATGCTACAAGAGGAAGAATTTATTGACGACACTTTTCCAGAAATGTAGTATTCCCAGCAGTCCAGTAGTGAGCTTTTCTTTTCTGGAAATACTCATGTGAAAATGAATGGTCTCTACTCAGGAACACAAAACAAGGATTCCTGAAGGGTGGGGAGTCAGACGAGACTCAGATCAAGAACTTTAATTCTCTTATTTGTTTTTGTACTCTTTCATTTCTGATTGTACACTCCTTCCTAGCAGGAACCATACGTTTTTCAGAACTGTCATGTCCAGACATAAGGAGGTTTCTAACATTTCTCAAAGAAGAAAGGAAATATGGACAGCTGCCTCTGACGTGAAACCATGATGGCCTGTGCAGACTCTGAATTTGGTACACAGAGGGAAGATCGAGTTTGCCTTTGCCACTCCCATCTTCCCTCGAGCCCAGCTACAGAGGCCTCAGACTGGGCCCTGAGAGCAGGCTTCAGTGTCCCAGAACAGAACTGCAAGCAGAAAAAAGCTCTGCACAGCTTCGACCACTGCCAGACATAAAGCAAGTGAGCAGAAAGGACCCCAGAAAATCTCAACTGTCCCAAGCTCTGGGTGTGGGATTCTCCCCTCACCCACAAAGCTCTGGGATGGATACCCAGGAAAGAGAAAGGCCTGTTGTCCATGCCACAGCCTGCCCAATCAAGCTATCCTCGTTCTACACACAAAACAACCAAAGGCTGCAGTTACTGTAAAGGCTGGGTCCTTCCAAAGTCCAGCTATCCCCGATAGCTTTTTCTTTTTTGTGTGTGTATTTAGTGCAGGGTCTACAGGGTCTACAGGGTCTCACTACACAGATTGGACTTGTAGTGATCCTCCTGTTTTCAGCTTCCCAAGCGCTGGGATTACAGCGCCGCCACCACGCCCAGTCTCCATCGCCCTCTCAGTGTGCCCCGGGGGCAGGGCCCACATGGCAGGCTGGGAATGAATCTCTGGCTCCTGCGTCTGCCTGAGCAGGCGCTTTAATCCACTGAGCTATTTGGCTGGCCCTCCTGATGGCTTCTGAGGCTAACCACTCAACAGTCCATAGTCTGGTCCTGTGGAAACTCTTTGATCAAGTTTTAGGGAAACTGGAAGAAGGAGAAGCAAAATGAATAACCAAAAGGAAAGAAAAACAACAGCTCCTTCAGGGGGTTCTTGACCATCACTCCAATACTAACAGCAGCAACCATTACCTCTGTTACTAGGCTGGGCTTTGGTGATGTCTGAATCTAGTCATTCTTTCCTGCTGTGCTCTTGGCATGCCGTGCACAGGGTAAGGCCTGCAACTAAACATCCATCGTTTTGCATTCGCCCTTGAAGTGCACCTCTATGATGGCCGCTGCCTCCCAGTGCCAGAGAATCTCAGATGCATGAGCGTGCAGGCACAGCAGCCCCACGCTGCAGCACGACCCTGTGTGACAGAGAAGCTAGCTGCTGCCACCCGGGAGGCGTCCTCGCCGACCTCGCTTAAGCAACTGTGGAGAGCACTGAGCAGTGAGGCTGGTGAGGGAAGATGCACCCAGAGTGACCTCGGGACACAAAGCATGAAGCAGCCATATGAGTGCACGGAACTCTTCTGGCCCTCAGTGCTAGATGCTGAGGATGGCTTAGAGCTAATGATGGATGTGCCAAGGACCGAACAAACTTTGGGGTTTTAAATGAACTATTTCAGCTTGACATATGACAGAGCAATAAAAAGCAGTATTTGCAGAACTGCTTATCATATTCAGGGGATGAAGGCATTTGGGGTTCCAGAAGAAAAGCAGCTTCCACTGGCCAAAGTGGCACATGCCTGTAATCCCAGCATTCAGTAGGCCGAGACAGGAGGATCAGCAAGAGTTCAAGGCCAGCCTAGGCTACACAGTGAGTTCAAGACCAGCCAGAATTGCATAGTGAGACTCTATCTCAAAAATATGGGGGGGGGGAGAGAGAGGGAGAGAGAGGGAGAAGAAGAG